AGATCTATACAAAGTTGAATTTTATTCCTACCGTCACTTTTTAAAATTTTTGCCAATTCCAACTTATAGGTTGTGTTCCTAAAATAAAGTTACGTTCTATGTTTACTTTCAAAAACTTTTCATATGATTTTTCAAAAGAACCATAATTTCAGAGGTATTTTTGTATGTTATGCCAGTTTTTGATTGAAATGTCACACACAATCCAATTTCTAATAGAACAATACATCTTTGGCTAAACTTTCAATTTGCTTATAATAATTTATTTTATATTGTATAAAGAAAGTGACATTGTACGTCACTTTTTAATTAGAAAGTCTTACTTGACTTTAGGGATATTTATGTAAGTTGCCCTTAATTATAAGGGTGAATTTGACTTTAAACTCTTTTATGCTTTGGCACAGAGGTATAAAAAATGTGGGACCATCCAGATCCACTCCTATTTGATCTGACCAAAATATGACAGGTTCAGAAAATATGAAATTCGATACATTTATTTATAACAATTTTTAGATTATTAATGAGTACCTAATACCTACTATATTGAACAAAATTAATTTACAATATTTGATTAAAATATAAACAAAACATAATCAGTTCAGTAAAAGCAAATAAATAATAACAACTTCCATTGTTTCCCTTCTTTTAAATACTAATAAAATCTCAATAAACAAAGAGGCCTTTTATACAACATGCATTTGCTGTCACTTTATTTCTTATTTCTGTCCATAAAATAGCTAAGAGTTTCACTCAACACTGGCAACTACAGATAATACATATACTAGAGACTAGAGTCTTTCTCCAGATAGAGATAATTTAGCATTAATTTATGACCATATGAACCACCCCAGTGCCTCTACATCCTCGTGTTGCTCCTGCTCTGCTCCCACAGACGCGGAGAAATAGTTCCCAATGTCATCACTGCCATAATCCTCCTCCGAGTGTACACAATCTATGGCTGCCACATACCCGGGATATTCATTTTCGGGGAAGTAGGAATTGCCACTGTCCACAAGGTGAGGACAGCCTTCATCCACTACAGCGCTGCCATCACTGCCAGTGCTGAGGCGGTCCTCCACCTTAACACTGATTTGGAGGGACGGAGCAGGGGAGGCCACCACCGGAAGTGTGTCAGAAATTTGGTAATAAACTGGCTCTCCAGCCAACTCTTTAGGTCCCAACTTCTCTGTCATGGAAAGAACCTGTTGGAATGCCATAAAACGTTTATTTTCTTGAATGTTTTTAGCCTTAATGTCATTTGCCACAAGATTCAATCATTTTATTATTGGAACAGTTTATGCTTAAGCTTAAGAGTATGATCACTCCTTTCCTCTCAATCTCATCCTTTACTTCTCTATTCGTTTGTTTTACCAAAGGACTACTCATTGCAATTGCAAAAATATTTCACACGTCACTTTCCATTATAGTAAAATATCCTTGCAAATTGCATCATATTTCTTCCATAGTTTCATTAGGTGCAATGAATGAGGGAGTTATCATGCATGTCCTTGTCTTTAGAAAGCAAATAGTGGATAGGAAAAGTGCGCAAATAGTGGATAGGATAAGTGCATAGTGACGATATCGATTCTATAGCAATTTGGATATATATCTTGAGAAACTAATAATATTCCCTTCCACAAACTAAAACGCATCTTCTTCTTCTTTTTAAATCACAGTGGGGTTTAGAACTGATGCTATCTTGTTTGACTGATGTAAGAACAAGATTTCTGAGCTAGACAGGACATGTTTTATAACTATGGACGAATCTTGGGGGTAGAAAAAGGTCCTTATCATCTAAACAAATGGCCAGGTGTTCAACCAGAATATAATAGAAGTCAGAATCAGATCCAAATATTTGAAATTTGCCTTCTAAAAATTCATCTACCAAAGTCCTCTTAATCAATTTATGGACTCATTTGTGTATATGCTCCTTATAAAGATATGGTACTATGTTCCATCTCATCTCGCAACTCTAGATGCATTTGAGCACGAACTGCAGTTCCAATGCTACACCTTGTCCACTCGCAAGAAAGTGATTTGAGGGATTCTCAATGAATAAATTGCCCCATGAACTCTTATATTAGAAAACTACCGTCACCTCTGCTCACTTCAGTTGACTGTCACCCGCAAGAATTGTGACTTTTAATCCAAACTATTGGCTCCAATCCTCCCCTTATCCCCCAGACCCCAGAGAAGAAAGCTCAAAAATATATACTGAGATAATTTTAATTACCTAAGTTATTATATTTTACACTGCACACGTTAATATAATCATAAGTTTGTTGATTATTCTGTTTATTATTGATAGAAGGCATACATGAATTT